TATATATATATATATATATATAATATATATATGTATATAGAGAGACTAAGCAAGAGAGACAGGGTGGGGGGAGGGAGAGTCTGCAAATAAAGCTCTCTTGGGAGGGGAACTCTGAGAGGTCTTAAGAGAGGGGGAAGTTGGGGGGGGTTCATATCCCCATAACTGCACCCCTGTCTTCCAGCACCCCAGCCTGCAGCTGACTGAGGACCAGAGCGAGCCAGCCAGGGGGCGGGACACCTCAGCCGCAGCCACCCTGCCCCCACGCGCGACTCCACCGCTACTGCCTGCCCCCTCCTCCCCTGCCAGCCCCTGCCCTGCTACCCCAACATCTGACTCCTCTACTAACTTCCCTTTTTTTCTGCCTTTTCCCCCTGTCCCCTACCTGCCCCTCTCCCTACCTGCTTTTATTTATTTTGGATTAGCCGGTTGGTCCCAGACCCCTGGATGACCCCCCCCCCAACTTCTCTTTCCCCTCTAGGACCTTCCCCCCCTCCCCAGTTCCCACCCCTGTCCCCAGGCTTTTGTATTTGTGCATAGTAGACTGAGCGGAGGGAGCCTGCTACAGGCCACAGCCTCAAGCCCTGATTTTTAATTCTGATATTTTTTCCCCTCCTTTGCTCTTTACTTTGTTTTTGTTTTTGGTTTTTCTTGTTGTTTTTTTTTTTTTTTTAAAGAAACCGTTTTTAAAACTATTTCTAGGTTTGTGAATGTGAAGCCCCAGGCCGCAGGGGGCAAGGGGCCAGGTACCCCCCCACACACACACACATACACACTGGCTGAGAACCAAGTGTCTCTGTGGGTGTGGACCCCTGGCCGGCTCCCTCCAGCCCTGGAGGGGAGGGCAGGGCTGTGGGTAGGCCAGGCCGAGCCCCTGGAACAGCCCTGTGTCCTGTATCATATGTAAATACTGTGAGGTGAAGCGCCTACCCCTCTCTTTAAGACCCCTGGGGGGTGGGGGGGAAGGCATTGCCTGATTCCGCTGGGCAAAGTCTCCCCCTGCCCCCCTGTTTCTGCCCCCCCCTCAGTCACCGTTACTGTAAGCTTACAGGCCTCAGCTCTGGCCAGTCCTCTCTCCCAAGGTCTTGGGTCTCCCCCCCCACCCCCACCCCCGGATGAGGGAAGAGATGGGCTTACCCAGAGCCACCCCCTGGAAAGGAATTGACTCTCCAAAGGTCTTCCCTGTCACCCTCCTCCTCATCCCCCCACCCCTTGCCTAGATTGGACCTGCTCCTCCTCCATTTCTGCTCTGAACCCCCCCTTCCCTCGGGTAGAGGGTGGGGGTCATTTTGGTATGGAGCAGATGCCAAGGGAAACGCAAAGGGCTTCTCAGGGAACCTCTGCATTGTCTCACTGAAGTAGCCCACCAGAATTGTCCTGTGCCAGAGCCCCTTGGCAGTTCCTTACCCCACAGCGGGCTCCAAAGGAAAAAGACAGAGAGGCTCCAGGTAGAAAGCCAAAGCCACACCTGGCTGAGGCCCACCTATGATTGCCCCCTTCTGTGTCCCGGGCCTGAGCTTCTTTCTCCCCCTCCCTCAGCCCCATCCCCCTTCAAAGCGCCCTTTGGAGAGAGCTCATTGTGAGGTGCTCAGCCCCAAGAACTCAAAGCAATAATCTTTGTTACTGAAAACGATGCGCGGCTGTTTGTGTTTGGGTTTTTTTTAATTAATGTTTCCTAATAAAAGAGAAGCTGCATTTTATTGATTTTTATTTTATTTTATTTTTGTTTTCTACACATTTGAGCTGAGTCCTAAGAGATTTAGCTTTCCATTCCTGGATCCTCTCATCCAAAGGGCCCAAACCATGGGTCTGTCTTCTGAATTGTTTGTTTGTTGTTGTTTTTTTTTTAAAAGATGTTACATGGTGTTTCAAAGCCAGCAAGATACCATCCCCACCCCTCCAGTGTCTCTTCTCTCCACATCTGTAACTTCTTTTTCCAGGTTTTATTTTGTTTTAAATTCCTAATAAATTATTTGAAAACGGTACTAAGTCTGTGAGTGTCTTGGGTCTCATCTATCCTGGCCGAGGTCACCTGGGGCACACTTCATTTTCCTGGTAGAGGTGTGGCACAACTCCATCACCTCCTTCATCTTCTTGGGGTCATGAATGGTCCAGAAAATTAAAATGAAAAAAAAGTTCTCGAGACCCTAGCTCAACCAATGGTGAGGTGCAGTGACAGACACATGCCTGTCATCCAGAGAGACACGGGGATGTGCAAAGAGGAGGACGGCAGTCCAGGCCAGCTCAGGCATAAAGCAAAACTCTACCATGAAATTAACAAATGGGAAGAGGGTCTAGAGGAGTGACTCCAATGGTAGCGGGCTTGCCTAGCAATCACCAGGTCCTGAGTTCAATACCCAGTGCTGCATCTCCCCCTGCCGGTGGGGGGGGAGGGGAAGAGACATGACAGACTAGTAGATGAAAGGCATATTGATGTATTTGATACAAGCCTTACATAGCTAATAGATGCCTTAAAAATGACTAAAAGAGCTGGCGGGGGCAAAGGGGGGGGTCACACCTATGTTCTAACTGGAGTCTAAGGCTAGAGGACCTCAAGTTTGATGCTCACCTAGCTATGTAGAGAGACTTTTCTCCCATTTCCCAGGTTTTCTGTTGGCTCTAGCAATTGTTTTGTTCTTTTTGTGTGTGTGCAGAAACTTTTTCCCCCCAGTACCAAGGTTGGAACTCGGGGCCACGTATTTGCTTGGCTTGCTAGCTGAGCTAGCTAGGCTATTTCCACCTGAGACATACCAGCCTGCATTTTGGGAGGTAAAGTCTCAGAGATTTTTTTTTTTTTGGTCGGTTGTGGGGCTTGAACTCTGGGCCTGGGCGCTGTCCCTCAGCTCTTCAGCTCAAGGCAAGCACTCTACCACTTGAGCTACAGCGCCACTTCCGGTTTTTCTGGTGGTTTATTGGAGATAAGAGTCTCACAGTCTCTCCTGCCCGGGCTGGCTTTGAACTGCGATTCTCAGATCTCAGCCTCCTGAGTAGCTAGGATTACAGGCGTGAGCCACCAGCGCCCGGCTAAGTCTCAGAGATTTTTTCCCCCAAGCTGGCTATGAATATCTATCCTCCGGATCTCAGCCTCCTGAGTAGGATTACAAGCCTGAGACACTGGTGCCCAGGGATACTTTGTCCATTATTTGTGCTTTTTTTCTGAGACATGGCATTCTATTCAGAAAACAATTACCTGTGCCTAACTTTCAAGTTTTCCATGTTTTCTTGTAATAAATCCAAGGTTTCAGGTTCTGTTGTTGTTTATCTGTTTTGGCTAGTCCTGAGGTTTGAACTCTTTAAACACTGCCTTGTAGGCTCTTTTGCACAGGGCTAGCATTCTACCACTTGAGCCACAGCACCACATGTGCCTTTTTGGTAGTTGGAGACAAGAATCAGATTTATCTTCCTAGGCTGGCTTCAAACCATGATCCTCAGATCTCAGCCTCCTGAGTAGCTAGGAAGACAGGCGTGAGCCTCCAGTGCTCAGCTTCCATCACTTTGGGGGGGGGGGGGGGGAGGGAGACAAACATGGGCAGCAATAAGACAGAAGATGTGTTGTGTTGTCAGGCTGGGAGACACTGCCCATAACAGTCAGAGCTGGCGATCTCAAGCCTGTGGACGTACTTGGCCAATGGCAGCAAGCAGCTGCTTTGGAGCAGTTCCTGGAGGTAGACCACCTATCCTGTAGGGACCCAGCTGACTTGACCTTGCTCAAGTGTGGATACGCTATCACCTGAAGGAGTAGAGAAGCTATTGATAGCTGTTCTTTCCATTGGAGATTGTGTTTTTCCCGAGCTGAGAGGAGCCGGGCCACGCACACCTGTGCATAGCCTTAAGTTAGCAGAAACTCAAAGCACCAAGGATTCAGAGATTTGGTCTACTCCCTCCCCACTCTCCCATCAGGTCCAGTCTTCTGCAGGGACCACACAGGTTTGACCATGTCTGTGTAAGCCTATATCAGGCATCCAATGCAAAGAACACTAGCAGCCCCCTCCTCTTCCCCCACCAGCCGTTCTGCCTGAGAATTTGTCCAGACTGACTTTGTGGATGATTTCCAGTCGATTTCCAGTGGGACCTTCAGCACTCCCTGTCCCCAAACTGTTCTGAGGTGTCATAATCACCAAAGCTAACGAACCCCTTGGTTCTGCTGTGTGATGTTGAGACAGCCACTGTACCATGAAGCCTCTGATCCATCTCCGCAAGATGGAAGTCTTTGCCACGTGCAGGTGGCTCACGCCTGTCATCCTAGCTACTCAAAAGACTGAGATCTGAGGATTGTGGTTCAAAGCCAGCCTGGGCAGGAAAGTCTATGAGACTCTTGTCTATTAGCTACCAGAAAACTAGCAGTTGAACTGTGGCTCAAAGTGGTAGAGCAGGGCTAGGAATGTGGCTTAGTGGTAGATTGCTTGCCTATCATGCATTATCCCCGGTTCGATTCCTCAGTACCACGTAAACATAATGAGCCAGAAGTGGCACTGTGGCTCAAGTGGTAGAACACTAGCCTTGAGCAAAAGAAGCTCAAGAACAGTGCCCAGGCCCTGAGTTCAAGCCCCACAAGGGCGGAGAGACAGAGTAAGGAAGAAAAGTAGGAAGGAAGAAATGGAGGGACAGGAGGATGGAGGAAGAGATGGGAGGAAGGAAGGATGGAAGGAAGGAAGGAAGAAAGGAAGGAAAAGCATTCCTTAGGATCAGCTAGACTAGACGAGCCCTGCTCTGCTATTCACTAGACGAGACATGGCGGCAGCCACCATTTCCTCCCGTGTCCCCTTTCCACCCAGGTGCCCATCAGGATGGATGGCTCTCTGCCACAGCAAGGCTGAGCCAAGTACAAAAGGGCAGGGGAGATGGTTGAGCCAAAGATCTGCAAACTCCAGAAAGCATTCCTTTAGTTACACAGTATGGACTGCAAATCCATGACATTATTTCCAGTAATCCCTTGCGGGCGGCAGCACCTTCGGCCTCAAGGCCAACGCAAAGCTGCTGAGAGCAAAGCAAACAGCCTTATCTTGGGGGGTACAGGGGCCCCAGACTATAAGAAGGGACACCATTGCTCACTTCAGTGCTTTGTCCACTCAAGATGAAATTCCTTGTGCTGGCTGCTCTGCTCACAGGTAGGCACCCCTTGGACCCCCTTTCTGGGCACTCAGATCCCCTGCTACTCCAACAGTGGTCTGGGGACACAGCACATAGGACTGGCTGGCGGTTCAGTTCTAGGCTCCCTGTGCAGCGTGTGAGCTCCTGGGTTGGGGTTTATTCCTCAAGCCCCCCCAACAGTTTCCACGATTTCTACCTCAGCTGAACTCAAGAAAACCCTTGTAGGCTGGGAATGTGGCTTAGTGGTAGAGTGCTTGCCTGGCATGCATGACGCCCTGAGATTGATTCCTCAGTACCACATACACAGAAAAAGCCAGAAGTGGCGCTGTGGTTCAAGTGGTAGAGTGCTAGCCTTGAGCAAAAGCAGCTCAGGGACAGTGGCCCAGCACTTAGTTCAAGCCCCAGGACTGGCAAAAAAAAAAAAGACCCCTTGTAGCAGGTTCTATCTTCCCACCAATTCATATAAGTAAGTCCCTCTTTTTTCTCTCTACCATATGTGCTATTTTTATTTTATTTATTTATTTTTGCCGGTCATGGGGCCTAAGCTCTGGGCCTGGGCGCTGTCCCTCAGCTCTTCAGTTCAAGGCTAGCACTCTACCATGTGAGCCACAGCGCCACTTCTGGCTTTTTCTGCTTATGTGGTGCTAAGGAATTGAACC